AAGCACCAAATCAAGTGATAGGGGTCCAAGGTCTTTATTTAAACGTCTTCTGACAATACAAATACCGCCAACGCGTTTCGAGGAGGCCAGAAACATTCCCCTTCATCAGGGCTTAAAGAAGGCAAGACTGTAAAAGAGGCAAAGGGGAAACTCTTTCCTCGGCCGCCCGGTCTATATCAGCAGAGCTCTGCTTTCAGCTGTCTAAGTCCTCCCGTAGTCTTGCCTTGTTAAAGCCCTGATGCAGGGGTGTGATTTTGCCCCCCGAAACGCATCAGCTGTATTTGTTCCCTGGTTTGTCGTCGGATGTTTAATTAAAGACTTTAAACTCCTGTCACCTGACTTGCTGCTTTTACTAGACCTAGCCACACATTGATTTCTTGATGAGGAACTTGCTGATTTGGTTGGAAATTTAGACTGGTGCTGGTGGAGAGTGACGCCGCCACCTGCAGGCTCTGTATCTCCCCAGGTCTTAGCAACCTCTTGTCAGCATCCCCTCCAGCTCCTGGCAACCAGTGACATCACTGGTTGCCAGGAGCTGGATGGGACCCCAGTCAGTGTGCCCCAGGTTGCCATGAACTGGGCAGGGAGATGTGTATGGCCCTTACACATCTACCGGTCCGTTTCAGGACCTCTGGCTGGAAAGGGGACGGCAGGCACACTTGTCGCTCTGCCTGCCGTCCCCCCTACGTTACCCAAAAAGATGCCACCTGACGCAACAGCCTCAGGCTACCTCACTAAAGGGACGGCTCTGCCTCTGCCAGCTGCCTATATCATTATCTGCCAATCATTATTGAGTAGTCCCCCTTGTTCATTCTATATCCAGTAGAGTTCCTAGCTCTGCCCACCCACTGCGCCAATTAGCGTCCCCGCTGCTTGACTCTCCCGGGGAATTACCGGACAATCTGGCGAAGTCGCCCCCGACTCCACTGCCCGGGATAATATGGTTTTTGGCAGACCCCGGGACCTAATCGCATTTCACTCGGTGCTATTTTTGGCTGGCCCAGGACTTGCCCGTCTGTGTCCATCCCGCCGCGCATCATATTTCCACCGCCATCTGCGCCCCGCCGCTCATCAAAACCCAGCCGCACGAAGGGATCTGAAATCCTTTCACCTGTCGCCTCTCTGTTCTTTCAATTAGCTTTCCACACAAAATGACTCTTTTCACAAAAAGTGTCGATCACAGCGGCGCTTTGACTCAACGGTAATGCCTCCATTGTTTGCTCGCTTTGCTTTGACTGGATAAGCAGCGAAGGTTTCACAAGGCTTTACAAAGAAAAAGTATACGCGGGGAAGGATCGGCCAGGACGTGCCGCCGTGATGGCAGCCATGTTGTTAGCTCGGCTAATGGATGAGGTCATCGAATCGCGGGCTGCGGATATATACACTGAGTGGCCAGATTATTATGACACCCCATCAGTACTTCGTTGGGCCGCCTGGTGACTCCGCGAGATGTTGAAAGGTGATGCGAGGAATCTGACACGGCACTGTTGCCCTTCTGTTGTCTTGTACCAGTCTTGCCCCTCCCAGATTACCCGTCAGGGCCTTTTCTCACCATGCGAAAGTCCACGGACCCGTCGCACTCCTGACCGCTTGTTCCAAAAAAAGACGGGATGGGTGCTGCGGTCGTCAACGGATGGCAATCGTTACATACATAGGTAGAAACAGTGACACCGGCGCTCCAAATGCAATTCAAGTGCGTCTATTTATTGACGTGGGTGCAGCATATCACGCTAATGCAACCACATGTCTTTGCCTGAGGAAGAGGATCCTGCGAGATCCCGAAACGTTGCATTAGTGTGCTATGCTGCACCCACGTATTGGTATTGCATTTGGAGTGATCCGCAGCTGCCCTGGTGTGAATGGGCTCAGAAGAAACTTGCCATGCCCCGTATGCAGCAATCAGATTCTTGTCCTTGTCCCCACCCACTGAGGTATGTAGGATCTACTCCATGTGGACATCCCAGTTCTCTCAGATCATTATCAGTCCCGCTAGGTTTGCTGCGCTGGAAGACGACCAACTTATTCAGAGTTAATTCCATGCAACGCAAATAACATTTCATTCTCTCCCCTCTCTTCCAGATTCAGCGTGAACAACGCCTTGCTGCACCCGGAAATCGTGGAATGGTACGTCTGCGTAGCGATCTTGGTAACGCGTGAAGTCCTGTGTAAAGTTGTGGTTTGTTAAAGCTGAACTGCAACCAGGCAGCCAAGTACATAGTGGCAGTGCATAGGGGGGGATTGTTTTATCTGCCAAAGGTTCTGTGATTATGTTCAGCCAGTCTTGTAACCCAGACAGCACAATGAGGTCACTGCAGCAGCACCATCACCACCACCAGATTCTGGTCTAGAACACCCCCCCAGTGTGATGTTTTATGGCCACTAGGGCTTAACCCCTTCACTGCCAGACCCGTTCTTTCATTAAAGGAGAACTATGGGGTTAAGGCTTTTCCCCATAGTTCTCCTTAGGGTAATGGGAGGACACAAACTAGCGTCCTCCCGTTACCCTAAGCTCAGTATACCGCGAGCTACAGCTCTCCATATACTGAGACGCCGCAGCCGGAGCGGATCCCAACATCGATGTCGTGATCCGCCCAGCTGCGTGAGTGACAGCTGGCTCTGCCTATCTAGAGGCAGAGCCAGCTGTACCCGCCCCCTCCCCCGTCCGTTCCGCCAGTCAGCGCTGGCGCATCGGAGCGGGGAGGGGGGAATCCAGCCCCTCCTCTGTCACGGCAGAGAGCCGTGACAGGATCGAGAGGTGAGCGAACACCGGTATGTGTTCCCTCACTTCCCGATCTACTGAGCCGACCTGTGACAGTCTCATTGTCACAGGTCGGCTAGAACTACAATTAGTTACCTTTCTTTTTATAACTTTGGAGCACATTGGAGGTGACAGGTTCTCTTTAAGTATATGATGTCACCAGCGCACCTCTGTCTTGTGTCAAAATCCATCTTCTTTATTGATGCAGAATGTCACAAAACAACGTTTCGGTGGCCGCACAGGGTCCCCTTCATCAAGTATTAGTACTAAAACCTGATGAAGGGGACCCTGCGTGGCCCCCGAAACGTTGTTTTTGTGACGGTCAGCATCAATAAAGAAGATGGATTATTGACACCAGACAGAGGTGCGCTGGTGACAATTATCATATATTTGAAGACTCACGGCGCCATGCGTGGTTACTGCAGCACCCTCCTTTATACATAGCGGTTCCGGTAAGGAGTGCAGCAGTTCCTGCACTCCTTACATAGGTGCGCTGGTGACATTTATCATATACTTAAGAGAACCTGTCACCTCCGACGTGCTCCAAAGTAATAAAAAGAAAGGTAACTAATTGTAACATTTAACGCGTGCAAATGTTTAATGAAAGAACGGGTGTGGCAGTGAAGGGGTTAAGCCCCAGTGGCCATACAACATCACATGACAACGTTTCGGGGGCCACGCAAGGTCCCCTTCATCAGGTTTTAGAAAAAAAACCTGATGAAGGGGACCCTGCGCGGCCCCCGAAACGTTGTTTTGTGACGGTCTGCATCAATAAAGAAGATGGATTATTGACACCAGACACAGGTGCGCTGGTGACATTTATCATATACTTAAAAGAGAACCTGTCACCTCCAATGTGCTCCAAAGTAATAAAAAGAAAGGTAACTAATTGTAAAACTTAACGCGTGCAAATGTTTAATGAAAGAACGGGTCTGGCAGTGTAGGGGTTAAGCCCTAGCGCCCATAAAACATCACATGATCAAGGCTTCGGCATCTCTCACGGTGCGGCAGACAAAACGGGCAACCTATAGGATGTAAACAGGGTGACTCAAATTCTCCTATATGTATGAACTGACCCTTTTAAATATGACCCCCCAAGTCTAAGGTCGCCTGTTACTTCGTAACTCGGCGGCTTAATTGTGTCCCGTCTCCGCGTTCCCGCGTTCACCACAACAAATTAACCATCTGGCGAATGACGAATGAGAACAATAAATATGTAATAACTCCGGGGTGTCAGGTAGAAGTAAAAAAAAAAGAAAGTTGGTTTCATTAAAAATAGAAATGTCCAGACCTTGTAAACGTCTCATTAATCTCGCCACCTGCCAGAGCGCGTTACAAAGCGTCCTGTTTTACAAGCCCCTTATCGAATTAAAACACATCTCTGCCGTTGTCAGTGACATTACATCTATTTAGGAGGCGGCGAGTGCGCATTCTCCACATTAGCTCATAAACAAGCCGTGAGATTGGATGTCAGATGGCGGCACCTGCTCACAGATTTCCAGCTATGGCGGGCTTTGCCAGACCCCTAGGCAGCTTCGCCGCCAATTGTTTAGTTATTTTGAGCAGTTGAAGGGGCCGTCCGCTTTAGACGATGACTTGTATCCCTCATCCAGAGCTCTCCATGTAGTCCTTCTGCCCACCTGTCAGTCTTCTGGCTCTGAGCTCCGTCATCTTGCTCATCTTTTTGATCTCATGTCTGTTGGATGTCTTTAGCACAAGATGACCTGCTTGCTGTCCGCCTGTTGTAATTAAACGGCCCGATGGCTCGCACTTGAGGGCAGGAGGACGTTTTTAAACGTCTTTCAATCCACCCCCCTACCCACTTGCCTAGCTTCGTGTCCCAGTGATCTCCTCTCTGGGGGCCACACAACCTTTCCTCCGAAAATCCCCTCTCTTTTCTCCCCTCTTTCTCCCTTTCATCCACTCCCCCTCTCTCTCTTGCTTCTTTCTCTCCTCTCTCTTCTCTCTCCCCAGCCCTCTCCTCTCCTTTCTTTTCTCTTCCTCTCTCTCTCTCCTTACCTCTAGTCTCCTCTGTCTCTTTTCCTTCTCACATACACATAAACACTCATAGCGCTCTCTCTCTCTTCTCCTCTCTCCCTCTCTCTTCTCCTCTCTCTTCTCCTCTCTCTTCTCCTCTCTCTTCTCCTCTCTCTCTCAATCTTCTCCTCTCTCCTCTTTCTCTTCTCCTCTCTCTATCTTCTCCTCTCTCTCTATCTTCTCCTCTCTATCTCTATCTTCTCCTCTCTATCTCTCTCTTCTCCTCTCTCTTCTCCTCTCTCTTCTCCTCTCTCTTCTCCTCTCTCTTCTCCTCTCTCTTATCCTCTCTCTATCTCTCTT